TTTTATGGGTTCTTATCACAAGGGATATTGCTTTCCATCCTTTTGCTTCCAGTCTATGATTTTCCTTTGAGTTAAGTGTGTTTCTTGTATACAGCATATTGTTAGATTCTGTTTCTTCATCTGCTCTGCAAGTCTGTTTCTTTTGATTGGTGAACTAAGGCTATTTACATTAATGCATATAACTGATATATATTGCCTTATCTTTGTCATATTATTTTCCTGCTGTTGGTTCCCTGCTTTTCCACTTGGTTTAATTGCTTACCCTGCTTGGTGATGCCTTTTTCTTGTTGTTCTTGGAATTGGGATCATTTTTATCACTTTCTAGAATATTTTCCACTATTGTTTGAACAGTTGGCTTGTTGATCATGAATTTCTCCAATTTATCTTTCTCATGGAAGTATCTTCTTTCTCTATTAATTTTGAAAGATAGTTTTACAGGGTACATCAACCTAGATTGGAGGTGATTTACTACCAGGACCTGAAGTACTTCACTCCAAGCTCTTCTTGGCTTGATGGTTTGTATTGAGAAATCTGCCATGATTCTGATGGGTTTTCCTTTATTATAGGTTATCTGTTTCTTTTCTCTAGTAGATTTTAATATTCTGGTCTTTTGATGAATTTCTGGGATCTTGATCACTGTATGTCTAGGTGTAGATTTACTTTGGTTATGGCTAATTGGAGTTCTATATGCCTCAATTATCTGTATATCAAATTCCTTTCCCATACTTGGGAAATACTCTGCTTCTATTTCTGCAAATAGTCTTTTTATGTCACTTGTGTTGATTCCTGCTCACTAATTGACAACTACCAGTCTTATATTGTTGTTTTTGCATCATCTTGCAGCTGTTGAATTGTATTTCCTGGTTGCATGTTATCTTTAGGAGATTTTTCCTTTTGTGATAGTTGGCTGCAATGCTATATTTAAGGTCAGAGTGTCTATCTTCATTTTCATTCAAGCAGTTATGCCAGCTTTTGATGGAATTTTTAATTTCCTGGATATCTCTTTGAATCTGTTTCATGTATCCTAATTCTTTCCCATATTGCTTATCCAAGGTTTCCATCATCTTTCTATGCTCCTCTATTTTTTTATCTATGTCTTCTTTAGGTGTGCTCAGCAATTCTTTCATTATGGTTGTCATTTCTTATTTTACATGAGATATCATTTCTGATCTGATTTCTTCTATAGCTGATGCAGTTGTTTCTTTACTTCATTTTCTATCATTTCAGAAATTTAAGATGGGACTTCCAAGTTCTGTATCGATGTCTTCTGGAGTTGTTCTGGGTGGACTGGAGGTCTGAGGTTGCACTTTTCTCCTTCCTTTTGGCATCCTCTATTACAAGAAAAAGTTTTTATTTTTCTCTGTGGTGATCCTTGTGAGATTTAGTATTAGACAACCATATCACTAATATCAAGGCCTCTCCAAGAACAGTCTGTACTTCAGGGATATCCTCCATGTGCAGGAGACTCTCTGATTGTGTCTGTCTGTCCCAAGATCCCACCCTCCCAATCAGCTGAGAGTGGGATGTTGTTATCTGTCCAACCAAGTCCCCAGTTCTATGGTGCAGGGCTGTGGGGAGGCACCACTCCAGAGTTTCCCAATATAGCCACACAAGGAAAACCAACTGATTATAACAGATGTGAGGGCTGGGGATATAGTTCAGTGGCACAAGCACCTGTCTGGCAAGCACAAAGTCCTGAGTTCAATTCCTGGTACCA